GCACAGTAAGTATGTATCCACTGTGAAGTGGTGTGGGAATCTTTAAATCCTATTTTTAGATTGTCTGACTCTGCTATATGACCTTAACATAGGTGCGCTCTTCTTTAACTGTAGAATGTACAGAGAGCATGTCCATGGTGTTCACAGCCTCTAGCTCCCTTTTCTCCATCAATGCTTGTTATGCTTTTGATGCTAGCATGCGACTCTTAAGGAAGTGTCTACATGCAGTTTCATTTTTATTTCCCCTTCCGTTCTCCCTTGCGTTCCCTATTCAATAGTCTGAGTCTGTTTTTCCTGTTTCTGTGTGTGTGTCTCCCACACACCCACCCACTTCCTCTCACCACTGTCTATGTTTTAGGTTTGATTTTTCCAGAATGGGAAGTTTCACAAGTGTCCTCAGGGCTGAAGCTCTTGCCTTTCCTTTATTTTGTCCTACCTTCTCTAGCTTAGCACCTCCAGCAGCATGATCAGCTGTTTCTTGGGAGCAATATGAGAGAAAAAAAATTGGTATTGTGCAAAAACTACGGTATTTGGGAATGAAGACACTTGAGTTATAATCTTAGGATCAATATTTATCAGCTGGTGAAAAGTTATTAAAGATCTCCATACTTAATTTTTCAGCAATAAAATGTGAATTAATACTTCCAATGTTTATTTTGTTAAAAACAATTTGAGTGCCTAAACTCTCCCAGGGATGACTCTGAGTGCTAGAGATGGTTGTGAACAAAACCAAGAAGGTACCTTGTAGAATTTTACTAGTATTAAAAAAGGCAATGACTGTAACACACTTGTTGTAGACTTCGAAAGTATGCTTGAGAATTTATTCATTTAATAAATTATTACTATCAATATAGTCTAGAACTGACTATGGTCTAGTTAGTGTGGTAGGCAGTGGGGATTTCGTATTGCATAAGACCAGAGGCAAAGGATCAGAAAACAAGAAAAACAAGTAAGCCACTTAATTTCAATAGTGGTGTCTGTGTATGATCCACACAAATGAACCAGTGAAAATGAAGGTGGGAAAGTTTTATTTCAGATGTTGAAGCTGGTCAACTGAACAGCAATGCTAGGAGGAGAAAGAGAACTAAGAAAATGAACAGATGGCAGTCAGAAACAACCAGAATACCATTCAGAAAGAGAAAATTTTGAAGCCAGATGGCTACCCAGCCGTTAGCAGATGGTACCCATTATTCCTCTCACTGGTAAGAAGAAGAAAAAATACTTATGCTGCCTTCATGATTCTTGGGCTTCTTATTCTTTAACTATCCCATAGCAAATTGCATTTAAAGCTATTTTTAGTCAAATAATTTATAATTCTTTAATTTTATAGTCTAATCTCCCTCATATTCAAGAAATTCTTACACTATTCTCCAGCTGGGATGGCCTAGGATTGTATGCTCCCAATGTCAAAAGAAACGATGCTAGTTATGCCACTTAACTACATCCTCAGAGTAGGAGATCAAGCCTCTGAACTCAGCTGTGAGAAAAGGAGTATGCTGGACTGGGAGTTCAAAGATCAAAATTTCAGTTCCATTCATGAGTCGTTAAAAGTGTGTTGCTTGATATAGAAGTTAGTGGATCAGACAAAGGGGAATGAAGGGAAGGGACTGGGGAAAGGAATTCGAAAGACAGTGGAATGAATCCGACATTGCTTTCTTATGTTCACATATGAATACACCACAGTGAAATTCCACATCATGTACAACCACAAGAAGATGGTGTTAGAACAGATTATACTCCATGTATGTACAAGTCAAAATACACTCTAATGTCATGTATATATCAAAAGAACAAAGAAAAACTATATTGCTTTGCAGAAGTGCATATTCTTTCTTTGATTTGTTTTCCTCATTTACAAATTCAAGATAGTAATTCCTACCAGAGTTGTTGTGAGGATTCAACAAAATGGTGTATGTGAAAGCTCTTTGAAAACACAAAATACAAGTGAAAGGAATGATTACCCTAGGTATGTGGACCACCAACAGTTCCCTGAACACGTGGAAAGTTCCATGGGCTGACTTCTGCTCCCACCATGGACCTTTAAAAAAACAGATTTCTTGAGATATATAAAAACTGTATTTATTTAAGGCATAGAACTTGAAGTCCATATCTATCTATCTATCTATCTATCTATCTATCTATCTATCTATCTATCTATCAATGATTACCATGACCAAGCTAATTAATATAACAGTTACTATTTTGTGTGCATACATAAATGTGTGTGTTGAGAAGATTTAATTTGAAATCTATTCTTTAAGCAAATTACAAGCATACACAATATACAGTATAATATTTCTAACTACTTTCATCATGGTTAGATCTCCAGAACTCACTCATTCATCCCACATAATTGAAATTTAGTACACTTTGACCAACATTTCTCCATTTACCCCTACCTGACAGTTCCTGAAAACTACCATCCTACTTTCTATTTTCATGAATTTGACTATTTTAGATTCCACATATTAGTGAGATCATGAAATACATACCATAAGTTTATTCTGAGGCTTTGGTAAATCACCACTTCTCTGTATGCTGGTATTCTGAGTTTGTCTTGCCATGAAAGATTCTTTCTAGAACATATGATAAAATTCAATATCCCTGGGGCTGGGGCTGGGGTTGGGGCTCAGTGGTAGCACACTTGCCTGGCATGTGTGAAGCACTGGGTTCGATTCTCAGTATTGCATATAAATAAATAAAATAAAGGACTATCCACAATTAAAACAATGTTAAAAAAATTCAATATCCCTTCATAACAAAAGCTCTGAACAAATTAGGTATAGAAGAATCATCCTCAACATATTTAAAGCTATATATGACAAGCACACAGCTGACATATTGAATGTGGAAAAGCTAAAAGCATTTATTCTAACATTGGGAACAAGACAAGGGTGTCCATTCTCACCATTCTTATTCAATGTTGTACCAGAAAATTTTAGCTAGAGGAGTTAGATAAGAGAAAGTAATAAAACATATAATAGGAAGGTAAGAAGTCAAATTATCCCTATTTTCAGATGATATAATTCTATACATAGTATAATCCAATAACTCCATCAAAATACTATTAGAGCTGATAGATGAATTTAGTAAAGTTGTATGATACCAATTAACAGGCAAAAATCAATAGTTTTTCCAGGTGCTGTGGCACATGCCTGTAATCCCAGCAGCTTGGGAGGCTGAGGCAGGAGGATCACAAGTTCAAATGTAGCCTCAGCAGTAGCAAGGCTGTAAGCAATTTAGCAAGACCTTGTCTCAAAATAAAAATATAAAAAAGGGCTGGTGATGTGGCTCAGTGATTAAGTACCCCTGGGTTCAATTCCTGATTAAAAACCAAAACCAAAACCAATAGTTTCTTATACACCAATAATGAGCTTTCTGAGAAAGATAATAGGAAAGCATTTACACTCACAGTAGCTACAAAAAAATCTAGAACTTAATTTAACCAAGGATGTAAAAGACCTCTATAATAAAAATTATAAAACACTGATGAAAGAAATTTGAAAAGACACAAAAATGGGAAAAAAATTCCATGTGTATGTATATGAGCCCTTAAAGTTATTAAACGTCCATACTACTCAAAGAAATCTACAGATTCAATCCAATCCCCCATTGAAATACCAATGTCATTCTTCACAGAACTAGAAAAAACATCCTAAAATTCAAATGGAAACACAAAAGAATCTTCAGCAAAAAGAACAAAGCTGGAGGTATCACAATTCTTGATTTTAAGACATACCCCATAATCAAAGTAACCAAAACAATGCAGTACTGCCATCAGAAGAGACACTGAGGTCAGTGGAACAGAACAGAGGGATCGGAAATACATTCACATCTACAGCCAAATAATTATCAACAAACATGCCAAAAAAACAGTGGAGAAAGGGCAGCTTCTTCAAGGACCGGTTCCGGGAATACTGAATATCCACAGGCAGAAGACTGAAACTTGACCCCTTTGTCTCTCCTTTTACAAAAATCAACTCAAAATAAAACAAAGAACCCAATATAAGACTGAAAATCTCAAACTAGCTGAAGGAAACCTAAGGAAACACTTCAAGATATAGGTGTAGGCAATATTTTTATGAATAAGACCCCAAAACACAGGAAAAGAAGCAAAATTGACAAACAGGGAAACATCTGCCAGCAAAGGCAACCATCAACAGAGTGAAGAGAAAATCTCCAGAAAGGGAGAAAATATTCATCAGCCATCTATCAACAGAGTTCTCATGTCTAGAACCCAAACACTTCACCACAAAAAACCAAGTCATCCCGTTTAAAAGTGGGCCAATGATCTGAATAAACACTTCTCAAAGGAAGAAATAAAAATGGCCAACAAATATGTGGAGAAAATGCTCAATTTCATTAGCTATCAGGGAACTGCAAATCAAAACTACAATGAGACACCATCTCACCTCATAATAAAAAACAAAAAACCAAATAATAAGGAGGTGGGGAAAAAGGGACTCATACACTTTTGGTGGGAATGCAAATTAGTAAAACCACTATGAAGAACACTTCCTGACACAACTAAAACTAGATCTACCATAGGATCCAGCCATGCCACTTCTGAATGTATATTCAAAGAAAATAGAATCTGCATAGCAAAGAGATCCCTGCCCACTCAAGATTACTGAGATATTCAGATACTACTCAGAATAGATAAAGCAGGGAATCAAGTTAGGTGCCCATCAACAGATGAATGGATTTAACGAGGTGGTGCAAATACACAAGGCAGTATTACTCAGCCACAAATAAGAGTGAAATCCTGTGATTTGGGGCTGGGGATGTGGCTCAAGCGGTAGCGTGCTCGCCTGGCATGCGTGCGGCCCGGGTTCGATTCTCAGCAC